AAAAATCAGCAGCACACACACAAATAAATGGCAGCGATAATAAAGTAGATGACACACGATTTACGTGGAAACCCCAAATCGGGGAGAAAACCACGGCCGCTCAACAACGGCTCCCAAACTTCCACTAATCACCAAGAATCAAGTGGGTACAACAAGTTCTCCTCTCTAGTAAACACTAGAGGCATACACAATCATCAAGGAGCAACCTTGGAACAACAAGAATCAACAATTCACCATAAAATGGAGTAAAAACTCCCAAAAATGCAGGTCTGAAAACGCAGCTAGAAAACAACCTTCCGGGCATCAAAATGAGAATCTGACCGTTGGATTTGAAGAGGAGTATGTGAGGAACAACATACTAAAATTTGAGCACGATCCGACTTCGTTTGGCCTTCGATCTGGAGGTGAAAAATTGCTGCTGTAGAGAGTGACGGAAATCTTCTTTTTCTTCCTTTTCCCTGCGTTTTGCTACTGCCACACCATTTCTTCTCTCTTCATACTCCCTTATCTCTTTTCTTTTTTTTCTTTAGTTAGTAGCCACACACAACATAGGAGAATGGGCCACCAAAAAAAACAATTGGGCTAAAACTTTACACACAAAAATAAGCCCAAATATAAAAGAGAGATTTAAAGTGTTGTCCAATTAGAAATTGGACACTTCCTCCATGTAGGAGGGATATTTCCCAACATATTAATACATGTGCAATGTGATTCTTTTCACACAGCTGACAGGCTAGATATGCATCTTTGTATGAGACACCTTAAGAGAACAGTCACAAGGTCAAACATCTATGAACATTACTGAGAAAAGACCTATTTTATCATTTGGTTGGTTATCCATTCCCAAGAATGACCACTCATAGAATTAGCTATACCCATTTCCAGTGGAATAGTCATTCTTTTCTTAGGGGCAACATGGGACATAAGGTAGTGGCACGAAAATAAAGAAATGCGAATTGCGTGCTTGATAACAATATTAGAAGTAAGAAAACATACGAATGAGTTTCAGATACAAACATAAACAAATATGGTATGGGACAAAAATAGTGGGACGGACAAAAAAGGTCAAAAGGGACAAAATTTTTAGGACAGAAGAGTATTAATTAATTGGATAATGCTTTTCCATCCTCAAACCAATCGGATGGTGGAATATTATTTGTAAGATATCCCTGTGCTTGATTTTTCTATTGTGCCTTTTTGGCTTTATTTGTGCATCCGGGAGCAGGATAAGCCAAAAAGTGCCCAAACTCATGTTGGTGATTTTAGTGTCATCAGCTATTTTATGTAATTGGGATTTACTTAGAATGAAAAAGAATTTTAATATACGTTGTTAACGAGTGCGGAGTGCACGGTCGTTCAGCAATATTAAAAATTCTAAAGCGGGGGTCCGAGGGCGGCACCCCCTCGGAGCAGGTACCAAGGGGCGGCAGCCCCTGGCGGGGTCCAAGGGGCAGACCCCTTGGCCGGGGTCGAGCGGCTGGGACAACAAGGGAAAATTTGTTTTGGATATTGTTCCTTCATGAATATGAAAATCCTTGGGATTTTTGTATATGGAGTTCAAAATATTGGACATTTGAATGTACAAATCAACACATTCGAATGTTGTGTTTATCCAGTGCATCGGGTGGGAAACAGCTCGATACATTCGAATGTTTGAACCCAAACATTTGAATGTTCCGCGATAAGTTGCAACAATTCGCACTTAACTGCAGAAGTAACTGTTTTACCCAATCTGCCATTAAACATTCGAATCTTAGAGCACCAACATTTGATTTTTACCCGAAAGTTGGTTATTTCAACAACCAACGCGTCCGTTCAGAACTTGCCTATAAATATGGCACCCTGGTATGTTTCGAGAGACAACCAAAAACTCCATACTCGTTCTAGATTACTTACGTCTTATCCGATTGAAGTATTATGGTATACCCCAACATAAATTTAATCTGAAAGCGTTTTTACGCGATTCGCTAAGTCTATCAAGTCGTTCTTCATGTTCTTCGTATACCGATCCCATAACACTACTTCACAACGTTGTTGTCCCTGCTGAACAAACTAATCACTATAGAGCTTTGAATCCTCCACGATCTAGAATATATATTCCATATTAACTGTTTGTTGTGATAATGTTTGAACAAGTACGAATTTTAACTCATCTTTCAAATAAGCACAAATCAAAAGTTCTGATTAAGATTGCATAGGAAAATTGCTATTCTTCAAATTCATGAAAAAAAACTTGGACCATAATATGAAAGGTGTTCTGTTGATTCCGCATGATACTTTAATTATGTATTCAAGATTTCAGAGGTTAAGGTGTCCATTACTAACCATAATGCAACAAACTGCATTAAAAATGGGTGGAGGGATATGAATATTAGAATATTGTTCCTATTTCCTAACTTTAAATGGATGACTCTTTTAACTAAACTCGGGATTAAAAGAATTATTGAAGTTTTAATTACATTATGAACTTAGTTTGCAAAACCATTTTGATTTACAATTCTCTTGAGGACAACAATCTGTTGGATCATTTGCCAATGGCCAAGTACTTTAAAGTGTTGTAAACATAGTCACCACTCACCTCCATATTACGGTTGTATTCAAGTGTAAGAGTATATAACCTTTTCCATGACCTACTACTACAAGCTTGAGCTTTTGGTTGATTTGGTTTCTTGACATCAAGTTTACTATCATATTACACGGTTGTTATCATTATACATTTATTATTTGTTACATATTTTTATTTAGTTAACTCTTTTACTCAGTTATTAGTGATTGAATCATAGAACTGATTTGTTTATAGTTCGTATTTATACTCCCTCCATCCCATGTCAAAAGGCCTTTTTTAACGTGCAAAACTCCACCCTTTTTAAAATTATTTTATTTAAAAATTAGTATTGAAATAAAAAATGAAACTAACATATTTAAAGCTACGTCTAAAGTTCTACAAAATAAGAGGTGACATTACTATTTTATCTTATCAAATGATCAATGAAAACACATAAATAAATAAAAATTATTGAGAGACTCAAATAGTAAATGTGCCTTTTGGCATGGGACGAAGGGAGTACTTGTTACTTTTCTTGGCCTATGGTGACGCTATGATTATGGCATTGCCATCATTGTGCCAAAATGGATCACTGCCATGACTTTAGCGCATACGACATGACAAGTATGAGTCTATGACCTCAAGTCATGTTTGTGAAGTACTTATCATTTATCCCCACATGGTTTTTCACTTGTGTGTCAATTGCATCCAATGTTTGTTAGAAAACTGTAATGAATTCTTGTCAATTTGATATATGTTTTTTACTCCTATGGGTATTATTGAGGGCCCTGCCTTTGTGAAAAGGCTCCTATAGTCAACACAACAAACAAGCAAAATCAATAGTCCCACAAAAGTAGACTCTTAGGAGGGTGTGTGTACGCATGCCTTATCCCTACTTGGAAGTAGAAAGACTGTTTCCAAGAGACAAATTTCTCTGCTCGAAATAGTTTCTCTCAGGTCATTTCTTTTGCATTCTAATTTGAAACTATATTGTTTGCTTTGGCGGTTCACTGAGAAAAGTGGTGTTTATGTCTATGGCATTCTCAGCCTCTTACAAAACTACAAATTCCATGGTGTAGAGACACATTTAAAAACAAAATATCAGAAGCTGAAGCCACCAAGGACCAGTGGGGCGTAGGGCTTACTCAAGCTTTCACAACTTAAGTATTACTACCTAATTTTAATTCTTGGACATCCAAAGGAATATACATATATCTAGATTAGTACAACACATTACTTGAAAAAACCTACTCTGTAGCTCTTGGTATTATTTGCAAAATTAAACAGTTATCGCAATTCCTAAAACAAGCTCAAACATTAGCTAGAAATGATGACGAAAAAGAAGAGAGGGTGGCATGGCCATAAATTTACTTGGAAGTACATCGAGAAGATTTGCAGGAATCAGTGTGGTTATAGTGATAAACCTTCCTTGGTCCCGCCTGGGAACTTTCTGTCGCGGTGGTGATGGTACGGATCATCGTCCGGGAGCCTGTCATCTCATCGCCCCAAAGGACCGTTCCTAGGAAGCTCTATTTGATAGGTAGGGCGGTCTTGGTAATATTGGAATGATTTTGATCTTTCAAATAAGTTCTAGTATATTTAAAGTTGTTTCTAATCTGAACTAAATTCAACTGATTAAAATAAGAATAAGTAATATTCTCTTCTTCTGGAAATATTTTTCCCACTTTCTTTTTTGTCGCGTCCAAAAATATTTTTCCCATTTTCTTTTTTAGTACTCCCTTCGTCCAAGTTGAAACTTCGCATTCATCAAACTTACTTTGTCGCCTTTAATTTCATTGTTTGCCGATGTTACTCAGTATTTCCAGTACCGTAAATCATTTGCATCTGACTTTCTTTTTCATTATTTTATAACTCAAGCATCGCTTGCCTTTAGGCCTGGACACGGTACCGGTACGGTACCGTTACCGGCAACGGTACCGCCAGTACCGCTACCGTCACTGCCGGCCGTTACGTCTCTCCAGTTTCAGGGAAACGGTACAGGCACCGCCCCCACGGTACCGGTTCCGGTGCCAGTATTTTGCTACCGGCACCGGCGGTACCGGTACCGGTTCCAGTACCCTTTGTATTTTTTTGCTTTTCCCAGTAGATCGATCAGTTTCCGGGAGCGGTTGCATCAACTGTGACTTGTGATCTGGTGATGGTCAGAGTCTAAGATCCCATATGTTTGTTTTTCTTGTTTCCACCTCTCTTTTTAGAACTGCTCGTTTCAGGATCTTGTTCTTCAGCCTTCTACTCTACTTCAAGGATGGCCAGATGCAGTTTGAATGTATATGTTTAGAACGGTAGACTATTTTTTCATTATTTCCCTTAACAATTACACATTTACAATTTTACACTTTTAAAAATTAAAAAAAGCAAAAAAAAGAGGTTGCAGAAACCGGACGGTCTGGTACTGCAACCGCCAGTACGGGTACCAGAACCGGTACCGTCCAGTCAGGGGCGGACCCAGAACATTTATACCATGGGGTCGTAAACTCGTAATTTAGAAAATTTATATCCAACAATCACACTTCTAACAATAAATGAACAATATTCTACAATACATAACATTAAAGTTCATATATATTATTGAAAATACTAATTCAAAGTAGTTCTACATTGCAAATGTGAAATAAATCTTACAAATGATAACGTCTAGTTTTCATATTATGAAAATGATTTATTATTTTATCATTGCTAATAATAGCAAAGACATCTCTTTCAATATATGTCACTAGACAATCATTTAATCATTGGTTACAAATTTTGTTTCGAACCTCATTCTTCACAAACTTCATGGCTAAATAATTAAAAATATTATAACCTTAAAAAAATAAGTACTTAACGTAAATACCTAATTATATTAACATATTCATAAATCAAAATCTTACAAAATAAATAAATGAATTCAATCATCTATTTTGCTATTCAAAAT